GCCGCTGCCGCAGCAGCAGACACCGCCGCCGCAGCCGCGCCCACCGCAGCTCCTTCTGGAGCGGCAGTTGTTCCCACCCGTGAGTGGCCTTCGAGCCCTTGGTCTTCCCTCCTCTCCTCCTGTTCACACTCCGTCCCCTCCAGCGTTTGGTCCCACGTTTCCTTCTCCTGACGACAGTCCCGCGGTCTGGTCTTCTCCTCCACCGCGGTCTCCTCCACCTGTTGTCCCACACTCTTGTGCCCGTCCCTGTCCTCCGCGTGCTCGTCACTCGTCTCCCGTTACCGACCTCCGCACTGCCCTCCTTTGTTCGTCTCTTCTTCGTCCTCCTCCTGAGTCCGTTCTCCCGTCTCCTCCTCCGTCCTCTCTCCCTTTCCCCCCTACTCCTGTCACTGACTACTACCGTGCTGTTCGTCCTGTTGTCTCTCGTGTCCTCGCCACTCTTGTCACCGGCTCTCGTTTCCCTCCGTCGTCTGTCTCGGCTCTCACTGCCGCTGTCGCTGAGTTTGCTGCCGCTAGTCGCCTTGACTACACCACCCGTGTGGTGCCAGCTCCTCCCTCCCGTCCTCTGTCCGTCGGGGGTGAGTTTGCCCTTGGCTGTGACGTCCTAGAGGACAGAGAGTCTGAGCTGGAGTACTGGGCAGCCGCTTCACCCTCTGTCTGTGCCATGCTGCTATCCCCTGAGAGAGACCCCGACGCCCTTGACATACCGACTCCTCGTACTTACCGCGAGGCACTGTCAGGGGCGTGGGCCTCACAGTGGAAAGCGGCTATGACCTCCGAGTTAGCGTCTTGGAGATCCACAGGCACCTACGTCGACGCAGTTCCCCCTCCCACGGCGAACGTAGTCGATGGCATGTGGTTCTTCAAGGTGAAGCGGCCGCCTGGTTCACCGCCTGTGTTCAAGGCGCGCTACGGGGCTAGGGGTTTCAGTCAGCGTGATGGAGTTGATTTCTTCTAGACCTTCGCCCCGACCCCGAAGATGACTACTCTTCGGGTGTTACTGCACGTAGCAGCACAGCGAGACTACGAGCTGCACTCCCTTGACTTCTCTACTGCGTTTCTCCAGGGCAGACTACACGAGGAGATCTGGCTGCGCCGCCCACCTGGCTTCACTGACACCTTCCCACCTGGGACCCAGTGGAGCCTGAGACGGCCAGTCTACGGTCTCCGCCAGTCGCCCCTTGAGTGGCACGACACTCTTCGCTCCACGCTTCGTGACCTTGGGTTTCGTCCTTCCTTTGCCGACCCGTCGCTGTTTGTTCGCACTGGTTCCACTCCTTTCTTTATACTAGTGTACGTCGACGACTTGGTCTTTGCCATAGCAGACATGGCAGCTCTGGCTCAGGTGAAGTCCGAACTGCAGAAGAGACACAAGTGCACTGACCTAGGTGAACTGCAGCGCTACCTTGGCCTGCAGATCACCAGGGACAGAGCCGCTCGCACCATCACACTGACTCAGTCACACATGGTGCAGCAGGTCCTTTGGCGGTTCGACTTCCAGTTCTCCACCACACAACCCACACCTCTTGCTGTTGACCACAGACTCACTGGCCCCTTTCCGGACGAGCCCTTTGAGTCCAGTGGTCCCTACGCAGAGCTGGTGGGTTGCCTCATGTACTCGGCCGGACCTCGCCTTTCCCCTCAGCATCCTTTCTCGCTTTGTTGCGACTGGAAGACACCGTCCTGTCCACTGGACAGCTGCTGTGAGGGTGGCGAAGTACCTGGCGACTACATCAGGCATGGGGCTTGTGCTTGGAGGGACTCAGCCAGTGGCGTTGACTGGTCACTGCGACTCTTCCTACGCTGACGACATGGAGACGCAGCACTCGACTCAGGATTACTGCTTCAGTCTGGGAGCTGGTGCTGTATCGTGGAGGTCTACACGGTCGTCGTCTGTGGCTACTTCCAGTGCAGAGGCAGAGATCTACGCTGGTGCCATGGCGGCACAGGAGCTTCGCTGGTTGACCTTGTTGCTCGCCGACCTTGGTGAGCGGCCTCGCTCTGCACCGACCTTGTACGCTGACAACAAGGCCATGATCCTCCTCTGTCGAGAGCCTCGACTGGAGAGCAGAGTGAAGCATATTGACGTGAGGTACTTCCTCCTGCGAGAGCTGCAGCGACGCGGCCAGGCACGCCTGGACTTTGTGGCCTCAGAGGCCAACACTGCAGACGTCTTCACCAAGGCCCTGGCGCTTGGTGACCACCACATGTTCTTTGTGCAGTTGGGGCTTGTTGAGGTAGGCCCTCGGTTGCTGTAGACTTGTTGCTTGCTCTGCTTGTTGTGTTTTCCTATATATATCCTAGTGACCTCTTGAACTAGCCTTGTGGCCGCTTGCTTGTGCTCGAAATTTGTGTGGTGTCCTTGAGATCCACCCTGAGCTTGCTTTGCTTCTTGTCTTGACTGGTCTTGTGACCGTTTATCTACCTTGCTTGTTTTGATGCCCCTCACTTAGCCTATGGGGGTGTGTCAAATGTTGATATTTGTGATAGGCTGTAGTGAGGTGCTCCTTAGTGAGTACAAACATGTTAGGGTTTCCTATTTGTACCCCAACTACTTTCTAGTCAATCATTCCGTTGTGTTCAGATTCTGAGAGCAGCGTGGTCAGCTGCGCCTTGCTTACGTGACCTCTCGGGCCAACACTGCTGATGTCTTCACGAAGGCCCTTGGGTCTGGTGATCATCAGCGTTTCTGCACTTCTCTAGGCCTTGTGTCTACTCTGCCTAACCTGCTGGTTGTGATCACTGTACTGCTTGTGCTTTTATAATTCTGCGTGTGAACTGGCCTTGTGGCCGCTTGCTTGTGCTCAGACTGTGTGGTAATCTTGAGATCCACCCTGAGCTTTGCTTTGCTTTGTTCTCTTGCTTGACTGATCTTGTAACCATTGGTTGTTCTTGCTATCCCCCACTTTGCCTATGGGGGTGTGTCAAACTATGTTTGTATGTCTGTAGGCTGTAGTGGGGTAGCCTCTACTGAGTACAACACTTTAGGGTTAGACCTACTTGTACTCGTTTCCCATTCTAGTCAATCATTCTTGCCCGTCAGTTCTGACAGCTGGGGTAGCGCTTCAAAATTTCACCTGCACCACTCTCAACTCCCTACCGCACGCCCAGCGCCAACTACAAACCGGACAACAAACCTCTGTCGCCCGCAGGTCTCCAACTTTATCAGCAGCAACTGGGGTGCCTGCTGTTCGCCGCTGTCACCTACCGACCCGACCTTTCGTACATCGCCAGCCAACTGGCACAGTACTCACGCAAGCTAGTGGCAGAAAACCAGCTGGACCTGGAGCGTGCCCTACAGTACTTCGTCTCCACGCCTGACATTGGGCTCTCCTACTCCACGCTGACCACAACATCCTTCAATCTCACCAGCTACGTGGACGCACATCACGCCACTGACCCTGCCAATCAACGGTCGTCTTTTGCCTGGAGCCAACATGCCCAATTTCCTGGAGCTCGTAGAAGCAGGAGCTGGTTGCCCTGTCATCAGCCGAAGCAGAGTACATCGCCCCGACTACTGCATTTCGCGAAGGGCTCTATCTACAAGAGCTCCTGCAAGAGGCGAAATTCCCAACTTCGCCCACCTTTCGCCTTCACTGCGACAACCAGAGTGCCATCAGGAAGCCGGGATTCGTCAACCGAACGAAGCACATCGCGCTTCGGTACTTGTTCGTCAAGGACGAAATGGACCAGGGCAAGGTTGATCTGACATACTGCCCACTACCGAGATGGCAGCCGATTTCCTCACCAAACGACTGCCACGTCAGCAGTTTCAGCAATGCTCCAACCTCACCGGAGTAGTCAAACGATTCAGCATTCGATACGCACAGGAATGAAGGGGGGTGTTGAGATATGAACTTTTATGAGCTGGCATTCCTCTACGCTACAGGAGCCGACTCTACCGAGTACGAAGTCGAAGAGTCAGAAGAGTCGAAGCGATACGAGCAACCGCCAGATCAAGACCGATGCAGGCTGAAACATTCGAAGTGAAAACGGCGGGAACATGTTTTGAAACGGGTTCCCGCGCCGCACGGTTTGAATTCGCCGTAATAAGGGAATGTACCCCTTAGAGTACATGGCTAGTTTACGTCGTTTCGCATTCATTTGTATTTCCTATATATCACGATGTATGCATTGCTATTATTATCTCAGTCATTTACATCCACTCTGACTTCCGTTGCAACACTTCCGTTCCAACACTACCTGCGAACAACCCTGAGCCGATCCCTGGCTAAGTCGTATTTATGATTGTAACAAATTTTATAGCACCAAATTGTGCATCTCATTTTTGCCATTCCAATCGAGTCGGAATTTTCTAGCGTCACGAATCAGAATCGCGCAGCGATTCTCAGCCAACACACATGGGCAAATACACGTCACTTTGCAGGCATGCCAGCACCTCGTGACTGGACGCGCAGCTAGTAAGTTCTTCGAGAGTCAAACTAAGCGAAAAGGAAGGTGGACTTTGAAACTCGTTACAGAGTTTAGCAGAATTTAAAATAGAAATTATGCATGCGCTTAAAATAAATAAGGGTTCCCCAGGGGGTGCGCTTATAATAGAGTACCGGCCAAAAGCACAGTGCTCCAGATAGAAGCACATGCGCTTATAATAGGCCTGCGCTTATATCCGGGGCCTTACGGTAAGCGCACACTAAACGACAAAACAACAGTAGCAAGTAACACGCAACATTTGGTTGCTGTACCGGCCTAGCACCGAGTTTTGAGAATAGGGCGGGGCGTGGGAGGCTGGGGCGGTTCACGGGTAACCTGGCACAGCCGGCAAGTGGAAAAGTTTTACCGCGACAACCCTTGGGTCTCCACCAGCGCCTCTACCACCACCCTGTCATGTGCTTCCCTTACGGCTCCTCTAGCAAACGCACGGCCTCACTGCAGCGACCCCATGATCTCCTTTAAGGCCTCCATTGATACCATACCCTGTGATGTGCTCCCTCGAGCAAGCACTTCTGTAGTTGCGTTAAATTACATTCAAAAGCAACCCCTCACTGCCGAAACCCCATGATCTCCTCCAAGGCCTCCATTGACACCCTGTGATGTGCTCCCTCAGGCACGCCACCCCACACATGCCGAACCATGGCTCCGTTGGGACCTGTGAGCTCCGCAAACGGGACCACTATCACCTTCCCCTTCCACTGCTCCTGGAGAGCTACGGCGTTCAGTTTTGGTTGCTCCCATTCGTGATTGTATCGATAGTGCTCGTCTGATTCGGTAATCGTGTACCACTGCTTCAAGAACTGTGGGGGAGTGGGAAATGGGAGGGGACAACAGACAACTCAATATTCAACTCATCTGCTCGCAGACGTGATTGTATCGATGGAACTCGTCTGCTTCAGTGATTGTGTGCCACTGCTTTAAGAACTGTGAGGAGGTGGAATGGAAGCGGACACGAGTTGTGTTGCGTGCCTCACCTTCAAGAGCACGAGAAGGCAAACGATTGGCTACAAGCACGCTGTTCAAACACGCGGCAATGCGAGTGCAGCAATCTCTATTGAACGGCCCCCCTCCAACACCCCACTTCCCCCCTCCCCCGCCCCTCTCCTAAGAAAAAAGTACTTGATTTACCTCTGGAGAGGCTCACCTGGAAAGTGTCCAGTGACCGTCTAAAGAGCAGCACCCCCGAATTGCAATAGTCCTGGTGCTCCATAAACAGCACGTCGGCGCTCCCATGAAACCCACCCTGCGAGTCCCCATTCCGTGGCATCAGAACCACAGGTCCCTCCAGCTGTCGTGCGGTGGCTGGCTGTAGCAGTAGAGCGGGGTCCTGTGGGACCCACACCTGGCCGTCCAGTGATTCTGTCAATTTCGCATCCAGCAGCCAGTTGAAGTAGTTCTGGAAACAAGGAAGTGGCGAGGAGCGGTGTGGAGGAGTGTGGAGGGGTGAGGCAGGGTGAGGAGGGGTGCATCGTTCACAGTTCGTGCCCTGTGGGAACCAACAACACCCTGTTGCCCCATGCGTGGGCCAGGAAAACAATGGCTGGTGCATACTTGAAGAGGAAGTGAGCACGCACTCACAGGCTGCTTAGTGGCCTGAGTCAAGAAAGAACGCCCACTGGTATGTAGGCAGGAGCATGCATGATGATGGGATGGGACGAACATGCACTCACGGGTTGCTTGATGGCTTGGATCCAGGCTTCCACTGAGAGGCGGTGGTGGTTCATGCGAATGTAGGCGTCTGAGTCGACAAAGAAGGCCCACTGGCAGCAGCATGCCAGCTGCTCCTGCAGAATCCGCACCTGCAGGGGAAGGCAGGAAATGGAAGGGGGGAAGCACGGAATGCAGGGAATGCAGGGAATGCAGGGAATGCAGGGAATGCAGGGAATGCAGGGAAAGCAAGGAATGCATTGAAAACAGGGAAAGTAGGGAATGAAGGGAACGGAGGGAAAGAGGGAAGAGCGAAAGAAGGGCTATGTTGATGGATACGCTCATGGGGACGTGGTAGTACACATGCATGTTTGGAAGCTATGCAAAAGTGTGAAACACACTATAAACACGCTCAGAAGCTCAACAACAACAACGAGAAACAAACAAACAAACAAACAAACAAACAAAACCTCCCAGATCTCCCAATTTGTAAGGACGAGATGAGGAGGCGGAGGAGGTGGAGGAGGAGGAGGGTGAGGGGAGGGGGGGGAAAGAGGAGGAGGAGGAGGAGGAGGAGGAGGAGGAGGAGGAGGAGGAGGAGGAGGAGGAGGAGGAGGAGGGGGAGGGGAGGAGGGAAGGAGGGGAGGGGGGGGGGGGTAGGAGGATGAGGAGGAGGAGCTGGATGGGACGGGGGAGAAGTGGACATCACATTGACGGGGAAGAGCTGGAGGGGCAAGACCCCCGGGGCGGGAAGGTGCGGGGTGGGGGGAGGTTGGAAAGGATATGAGAGGTCGAACCTGGCCGGGCCTCCCTGCAAACCGGACCGAACCAGATTTCCTCGTATCCCCCCCCCCCCCCCCCCCCCCCTCCCCCCCTCCCTCTCTCTCCTTTCCTTTCTCTCCCCACTTGCCCTCCGGGCAGTGCGAGCAGTTCCCTCGCCCGGGTTCGGCCACAATTTCCCAGGCCGAAAAAGGATTGACCCAACCTTTTCCGGCCCGACCCTGGCCGATTCGAGTTCAGCCCGGGTCACTTGTGTTATAGTCGCATGCAGTGATTCTCTTTTGTCAACAGCATGTGTTGTGATTCGGCAGGCCGAACCTGATCCGGCCTGACCCGGCAGGAAGCTCAAATTGAAAATCCGGCCTGGGAAAAAATCGAGCCGGGCGAAACCAGGTTCAGTTCTTTTACCTTGAACCAACCAGATTCGCTGACACTTTCGCTGGGCGGGGTGGGGTGCGATTCTTGGCTTAAACCAGGACAGGGGAGGCCTCAAGCAGACTCACTGACAGACACTCACCTTGAACCAGGCGGGGTGTCTATCCGGTGTGTATTTTGACCCATTCTCCACCACGAGTCGGTACCCATGCCGCCGCGCGTATATCCTGAAGGAGAGAGATGGAAAGGCTCATGTATATTGTTTAGGAATATTGACTTCGTTGACCCTTTCTTTTCACCACCAGCTGTTATCCATGCCGCCGCACGTATATCCTGGTGAAAGAAGACGGATAGGATGGAAAAGGAAAGAAGCTTTGACTCTATTGACTGCGTTGACTCTTCCAATTGGGTCATTGACTGCATGGTGACGGCATGGTTGCATGTACACATACGCTCAGGCTGATGTGGTAACACAGATGCATGCACACATGATGACAATGCAGGAGCACATACTCACAAGTTGACACCCTACTTTTTGTGTAGAACACATGCTCGCACGTCAACAACTTAACACACACACACACAAACATCATACAAGTTGTTATGCCTACAGCATAACCCATGCACACACACGATACCGTTATACAACCATACGCACATGTTGACGGCCAGAGTCACCCATATAGACATCTTCCTCTGATCCTCATTCCCATTCGCATCCACCACCTTAGGCAGCAACCCATAGAACCTCCGCCACGCCTCAGGCATCCCCTTCCCTCCTTTTCCTCTCTCCTTTTCCGTCTCCTTCTCATTCCTCCCCTCCCTCTGCCCCTCATCCTTCCCCTGCCCCTCATCCTTCCCCTGCCCCTCATCCTTCCCCTGCCCCTCATCCTTCCCCTGCCCCTCTTCCTTCCCCTGCCCCTCATCCTTCCCCTGCCCCTCATCCTTCCCCTGCCCCTCTTCCTTCCCCTGCCCCTCTTCCTTCCCCTGCCCCTCTTCCTTCCCCTGCCCTTCTTCCTTCCCCTGCCCCTCTTCCTTCCGCTGCCCCTCTTCCTCTCCCTCCCCTTCATTCAACCGTCTCCCCTTCATTCCTCCGTACCAACCCCGCTCCTCATCCCTCGCCCTCCTTCTCAACCTCCCCCTTTCCACCTCCCTCTCACTCCGTTCAAGCATCTTCCCCCTCCGCCCTACACCCTCCCCCCCTCTCCCTTCTCCCGCTCTCCCATCTCCCCATATCCCTTCTCCCCCCACCCCCTCCGCCTCTACCCCAAGGTCCCTCAGGAGCTGCGCTACAGCCGCCTCCACTGCCAGCACCCCCTGCGGGCTGTAGCGCGAGTCGAGAGTGAGAATGCACCCGGGCCGCTCCCACGCCGCTACAGGCGACCACACAGAAGGGGAGAGGTTCCAAAGCTCACTGCTGTCATCCAATTTAACCTGAGGTTCGGGAGGTTCGGCAACAAAGGATGGGAACAATAGATGGATCGTATCGCCGGTGCGCACCAAAGCAAGCTGGAACATCGCCTTGGCTCGCACTTTTTCGTTTAGCATGGAAGCTTCGGAACCCGGTAATTCGTATTGGTGCGCCGCACAAAGCTCGTTCTGCACCACGTCGTCGTCGTAACTCACCTGTGAAGCAGGAGTTCGTGCTTGTCTGAAGTCCTCAGCTCAAGGCCGCGCCTTGTCACGACCTGATTGGCTCGAAGGTGCTAAGCATCATGTCCGTGGCACGGCGAAGCACGAGTATTGAGCGTAGTATTAAATAAACAACTCACTCGGTTGGTAATGGGAATCACGCATAGCACGAAAACGAGAGGCACAAGAAGCCAGGCAGCGCAGCCAACGATCCATGACCGCGATTCCACCACACTTGTAGAGCGGCCTTTCCGCTGCAAATTTTCCAGTTTTCTCCTCTGATCCAGCAAAATCTGCGAGACCTTGAATATAATCGCCTCCGCCATATCCTGATTCCAATCCCGATACCAACGCCTGGAAGCCCGCGGGCCGTCTTCCTGTCGTCCGAAAAACGTTCCCGTTACAGCCGCGTTCCGGTCACTCGCAACTCCAATCGCAGGATAGGTCTCCGCTTCGTCGTGCTTCCCTGACGGGACAAGAACCACCTCTCGACTCTGAGTCTCGAAGAATCCAGACTCTGGTGTACCGGAAACGTCCGCGGCTTCATAACCGCCCGAAAAATCGTTAATCTCGATGTTTTTCCCAGCCATGTCGAAAGCACACACATAGAATGAAACACTCTGAACCGTCGAACGATTTATACGAAGAGCTTGCAACAGTCGAAATTGGCTCACACAGCGGCTCCCCTAAACGGTTTACGCGAGGTGCAGAATCAGCAATGAGACGGTAGGTAACGCATTGCCTACTCCCTAGCTAGCGACCTACTCACTCCTAAAGCAATTGTTGAGAAATCTATCGATGGAAACTGAACTTCGGGATGTTGATGCCTAGAGGCTTGGGAAATACCAACCCTTCTCGGTTGAGAGGGGTATCTGGTATTAATGTGTCACTGAAAGTTCCGGCGATACTTGTAAGGGTTACTGTTGAAATAATGGATTTAGGTATAGTGGATTCCGGAGTGGAGAAGCACGGTGCAAGGTATTTTGATTATGTTTCGGTATGGTTCAATTAGGCAGCACCAACAAAACAAGGCCCGCCAGCCAGTTATCGGCCGGCAACATGATTGACTGGGTTTTGTTTTTTAATTGCCCGAACCACTCGTACAAGGCTGTCGAAGTAGAGGCTTTGTTCCCTTAATGCTCTGAACCTTTTGGGCTGCTTTTGGAGCAGCTCGACCGTTTCAACTTATCGATTGGCCTGGTACCCGTGACACTTAACAGCCTTTCCCAGTATCCAGGGTTTGGTTTCTGTTTCGAAGGGCCCCCACGCCCCGCCCCTAACACCCCCCTCCCTCCCTACCCACCAGTTGTATATGCCGCGATGTTTAGTCTGCGATGTTTTGCCTACGATGTTTTGACTGCGATGTTTTTGCCTACAATGTAGAGGCCGTAGGTGTGTTTATGAGAACATAGTATGCTCCTTCCTATCGCTAAGTATTATGTCATCTACCTTTGTTAGATTCAGGAATAAGTACACCCAGAGCCCGGATTTGAAGGTTTGATTTCGGCCTGCGCCCGTGAAAAACAGGGATTGAATTCGAGCAGCTCAGAAAGTGTTGGTCCCAGGGACTTCGACAAGTCCCAGACCCGTCCCGTTTGTGGTGAAGTGGCCAATAAACACATCCCAAAAGGATGCAAGTCTTCACCACAAACTTGGCCAGTGCCATTTGCACAGTACAACCCTCCCATTTGACATCTGCAATCCAAATCAACTACACCTAGTCCGCGGTATTTTAACCGCCGGTATCTTAACCACGCGGGGGTACTACTCCGTGGTCAAGATTGCGGAAGGCATATTTCGCGTTCACTGCACCTTCGCCTCACAACTGTCAGGGTTGCCCTAATGCTTGCCGGGTAGGGACCAAAACTTTCAAGGAGGAGAACCTCCCAAGGCAGGAATGTTGGCGTTGATGGGTGTTCGATTTCTGACTGCGGGCAGGTGTGGGCGAAAAAGCGCGCTGAATGATTTTTGGCGGGCTTGACGAGGCTGCCCCGCATCAGCTGATGCGCGCATGGTGCAGCCTCGAGACGATGCACCATGCGCGCATAAGTGGTGCGGCAGATTGCCAGAAGCGGATGTTTCCTGGAACGCGCGATCGGTTCCCAAAACGGGGGCCAAAAAGGCTGTTTCGCAGTCATCCAGCACAGGTTCGCTTCGGCAGCCATGCGCCTATCCCGGGCCTTGATAACCTGTCACTCACTTATCGAGGAAGGTTCGAGGGTGGTGGTTTATCTGTAGCTGGTTCCCGAGCCTGTATGTGATTGCGCCAGCCGAACAATGCCCAGGTTCCGTCGTAAAGGACGAAGTGGAACTCTGCACTCTAGCGGAGGAAAGTTTGCAGAAACGAAAAAATAGGTTATGCTGTAGAGGAGGGCGCGTCTGCAGAAAGCGGTTATGCAGAGGAAGACACATCTGCAGAAACATGTTTTGAAGAGGAGCACGAACTCGACCGGCGAACCCCTGCAAAGAAGAAATCGCGAATTCCCGATCGCTTCAGAAGATTTCGGGACATTGAGAAATTGACCCCGAAAACAGTGCGCGGACTTGGGGTGTTCAACCTGGGCGAAATTGAACCACCTGCGCAGACTGAACCTGGCGCACGTTTTCGTAACTACGAAAAAAATGCGTTACAGAAGTTGGTTAAAACAAAATGAACAGCTAAAACAACTACTTTTAGGTAGGTAAAACTTACCAACAAAGCACGTGTTGTAATTTTAACCTGCCGGTGCTGACTTGGCAAAGCGCACCTAATTGTAGTTAGCTAAACGTTCTTGTGCGAACGTTCTCTAGTTGGTTCAATGCATAGGTACTTCTTTATTACCCCTTGTAATATATATTTCAATTCTAATGATTCTCTTTTGTGTGACAACCCTGGCCTTCCCAACACTTGACCAACTTTCTTTCTACTTAGTGAACAACACGCTCGAGTGACTGCAGAGACTACATTCCGTAGAGCTCACCGATAGAGCAGAAATCTCTGCATGGTGCAGTGAGCGTGGATCAAACACGCGTTGAGCCCGTTCTTCTACATTAGGTCTCATTGAACTTAGCTCGTCGACATGGGGGAATTTGAGGATATCCTCGAGGCATTTGACAGTCTAAGTGAGCAGGAGGCTGCCTTGATTGCTCGTCATGAAGGTGGAGATCTCACCTAGCGGGAGGTCAGCTTGATGCTCTTGGGAGCACGTGCCCAATTGACCATCCGCAGACTCGCGCAGGGGAGGACGAGGAATCGCAAACTTTTGGAGACGACGAGAACGTTGAAGAACCGGCAGTATGCGGAATGCGGGAGTCACGAGGTGTTCTACAACAATGACAACCGACGAGCCCAGGTGGACCAAGCTTCGCCGAAGGAGAAGGCTCGCAGCAGAAGAGGAGGCAAGTCCAAAGAAGGCGACTGGAAGAGGAGGATGCTTGAGCGGTCGAGAATCTGCAGTGAAGACTGGAGGGAGCTCGACAATCTCTCATCCGACGACATCGAAAGACGGTGGAATTGCCCCGGACTATGGATACTTCCGACAAGATCATGGTGCCGAAGCTTCTCGAAGGACGCCATGACTTGCCGATGTGGACGGAGTCTATCGAGCCTCAACTTGAGATCGCGCAGCTGAAGCTGTTCATCGACGGTTCGATTAAGACTCCGCCGCTGAGCGACACTTCACAGTATACGCGATTTCGATCGGCGCAACTACTGACCTTCATGGTGAATCGCGCTGCTGCTCTCCATCCGAGAAGATTGCCTTGAAGTCATGTTGGCTTCGAGTGGATGCAGGCTACCAGGCATGGCGCTTCATCATGGAGACCTACAAAGCAAAGGACGACCTCTATATCGGCCAGATGGAGGAGAGCTTGGTGACGCTAGAGATGGCAGAGCATAAGACGGCGACGGCCTATTGCAATCGTGCGCAGCTGCTTCTTGCCAATCTGCGGATGACCGGCGTATACTATTTGACGGCCTCGTATGTGACTCATGTCATCAAAAGCCTCCCCGCGGAGTACAAGTATCTTTGACATATGCTCCAATTTTTGGAAGTCCAAAAGTCCCTCAACGAAAACACTCCAACGAGCAAGATCATCGCGGAGGAGTGCATACTCGAGTACGAAAAACGCAAGAAATCACCTCTACCACAAGTCAACTGGGCGTCAATGGGACAGAAGAAGCAGCAGCAGCAGCAGGAGCGTTGGTCTTCTTCGACATCTGACGCCTCTACGGAGCAGAAGTTGTCGAATAAAGAGCATCATAAGAAAGATGGTCGACAGACGAACAACAAGCGGAGCTCGAAGAAGCCTTGCTGGGTCTGCGGAGAAGTCGGGCACTTTGTGTTTCAGTGCGAACAACGTGCCGACAAGAAGGACAATGCTCGTATGCAGAAGAAGATTTCTTCGAAGTCAGGAACGCAGAGCGGCAACTTCAATTCGACCAACAAAAAGGGTCCTTCTGCGCAATGGTGGGACCAGTTGTCGACCAGCTGCAGACCAACGATCTAGTCATTTCGTTGAACGCAGAAGACGGTGAGGATTTTCAGGCGATTGCTGCAGCTGTCGAAGAGTTTCTGCAATTGCTCTTCTCGACAGTGGCTGCTGACATCATCTGATGGGCGACGACGCAACCTTTGTCGAAATGCATGAGGATGGTGGAATTCGACGTGTCAGTGGATTCAACGGTGGCGTTCAAGCATTTCACTGTCGCGGAACAATCGCTCTTCGCGGCGAAGCTGGTAAGCAGATTCCGATTCCTGCTGTACTCTACGTACCTGGAATCCATGCAGATCTGTTGTCTGCTGGGCAGCTGAAGGACTGTGGGGTAAAATTGAAGGATGATGGTGAAGAGACCCTCCTCCTCTCTACCGACGGGACAACCCTTGGACACGCTTGTTATCGAGGAC